ATAAAAATATTCCAAAAAATGCTCAAAATAGCCCAGGAGAACTCCAGGCTCTATTTAAAGGCTTTGCAACTATAGTTACTGTATAATAGCCATTATTTTTGATATATGGCTTGCCCTTAATGATGGATGTTGGGAATTTATGGAGGATATTTGCTGTTGCTATCTCTGTAGCATGGTACTGCTTTGGGAGAACAGAACAGAGTGAAGGTTCAGGATTCTTTAGGCACTGAGAGATGCTATTAGAATGTTTGCCTCCATCTATCTTCCACGATGACTCTGCAGCCACCGCACACTTCAAAACCCTATAATCTAGGCCTTCTTCATCTAAATGTCATTCAGATTTTAGAAAATGCATGACATATATATGAACATTGTGCTGCTCAGTGTACTTGATAGCCATCCGTTGAATTCTAAGAGCTCATCTAAGGACTACAGAGCTAGACAGGTGCTACTGTGTAAAGGGTTCCTGACAGTTGCTAAAACCTCACAAGGCATCTGGATTACTGTGGTATCACCATTGTTAATGAGCAGTAGCTGTGTCTCAAAGAATACTGGTATTAATGGAATCATCAGAAATGCTCTTTCAGGAGCCAAGTGGCATTGAGCTTTTGTTCTTCCATATGCAGATTAATTCTAGATAGAAATAAAAGTAGATAAAAATTGAAACAAAGGAATAGCCATGTAGACTTTCCTAGCTCAGTAGCACAAGGCAGAGTAACCAATCAAAGAAACTCACACCATCTTTTCTCCTTATGAATTATGTTATGAAGGGACAATATACTTACTAAAGATACAGATTTTGCCTCTTTTGCTATTAGTCTCTTTACGTTCTTAAAATTGATCCTCAAGTAATACAGCATGATTATTTGTTTATAGTATTGTTAGCTTATAAAGAATTAGAGCAGCCCAGAAAAAAGAAATTTGAAACATAATGATAATGTCTATTAATTGGAGTAGAGAATTGGTAGGGGTAAGTTGGTTAAGAAAAACATAAACCTGGATGATATTTGTCCAGACAAGGAAATATAACTGTGTTTCTGACTGGAGAGCTTATGATTTTGACATTAACCTTCCAAAAAATGAAAACAAACTTGTTAGCAGGATCACTTACATGATTCCTGGTATTTATGAAAGAAGAAAAAAAAGGCATTTATTCAGAAAAAAAATAGTTTCTCCCAGTGTTAATAACCAAGCAACTGATATGCTAGAGTTAGCAAGATGGCAAATCTCCTTATCTTTCCCATCTTGTTGGCTACAGCCAGTACATGGCCTCATGTAAGCACTAGGACTTACCATCCAGTCATGTGCCCATTGGGCCAGAAATTTAGCTAACAGAATAAATGGCTTCCAAACTAGGGATCTCATCATCCCTCAACTCCATCTTGTGCCCTGTGCTGCTGAGGCTGGATTTGGCCTTGCAAACCTATTGTCTGAGCCTCCACAGTTCTGAGAGTTCAGTCTTGTATATCCATACCTCACTGAGTTTTTATTTCTCTCTATGCCAATGATATGACATCACAACTTACTTGATAGTTATTACGCAGGGAAATTCACATTATTAGAGGATTATAATAGTGTAGGCAATTAACAAGAATGTGCAGTATAACTGGAGATGACACAGTTGATCCCGTATTTGTCATGTAGCACTGTTCGTGATGTAATGATTTAAAGAGAAGCAGAACTTGTACTTAGCAGTGTGAACTTGGTGAAGCACGCACACTGGTTTAAGTTCACACAGCAATGGCAGCTTAGAAATCTGAGCACCACCCATTCAATCAGCCGATAAACACGGCCTAAGAATGCAGAGAAGGTGGTCATAGAAAAAAGGCCACTTCTGCAAAAGTCTATTAGAAAACTCTCCATGTCATGATTATAAATTTTTGTTTTTAAAACTGACATTTATCCTGATGTGACATTTTTCTTAATCTCTTCCTGATTTTAGTTGAAATACCAACATCTAAAGACAAAGTCATAAGGAGATGCTTATAAAGCATGCTCTCAGAGGACAGAGCTCTGTGTCACAGTCTATGGGCCTACGAAGGACAACTCTCAAAACACATCTTTCTTGGAGCTTTCTCATTTATTTTTTATCTTGAAGGTTTTTCTTTCTTCTGGTTCTGAAATGTCCACAAAGCTGATAGGGTTATGATCTATACCCTGCACTTGTTTCATAATTTCTAGGAAAATCAGAACAAAGTCAGAGAGATTCTGATCTAAACTCCTAGCTAGGAAAGAGAGCAGAGACTTCTGTGAGACAGCAAATGCAAAGAAGACCTGGAGGGTTCAAGGTTTCCTTCTGCAATAAAAACAGGCCCGCCAGCTGCTGCTTGCTCTATCACCTCATCCCATTTCTAATTCTGAATAACACATAGAAAATGAATACTTGCCGCCAGAAATTAAAAAAATAATAATAAAATAATGATTTAAATGCTTTTTCTTCTTAAAAAGTGTTCAAGTTCACAACAGGGGATCAAAACCTTCTACAAGGTTCAAAAGGAAAATTTTATCAACATGAAAGCTGTAAACTCAGATGGATTTGTATTTCAGTTTCAATTCCAGAAATGATCAATTAAACTCTGTGTCCAGATTCATAGCTTAACATAAAATTTACACAGTTCCCTTTACACTATCTGATAATCAAAATGAAGAACTGGACTTCTACCGGACCCTGGCAGGCTAGCTCTTTATGCTCAAATGGTAGAAGAAACCAGTTAACAAGACCTCACTGTGCATGGTTCTAAATGCCATTGATGGCCCTAAAGCAAACCCCACCTTTAAAATCCCATCTGTGTGCCTGATACTGTGAGCACCATAGAACAACTCAGAAGCCATTAGCTCGTGAGTCACAGCAATGGTTCCCCATCACTCGTCTTAGTTCCAGACATTTCAGATTGGTTAAATGGCCTCTGCTTCCCATGTTAGCAGAGGTGAGTGTTTCCTGGGAGTCAACACTGTGTTACCGCTGTCTTTAAATACACTCTTCCTTCTTTATTCCCCTTCATGCCAGTTTGCACATGTTAGGCAGATGCTCTGGCAACTTCCAGAGTCTTTTCCCATTCTTTTTGAAGCCATCTTTCTAGTCTAAGTTCTAACTGTGTTTGGTCTTCACTACCAAGGTTCCTGCTTTCCACAGACCAATGGCGCTCCACCACTCAGATACCCTGATCCGGAACGTGTAGTAGTATCAAAGAGTTCCACAACAGCCCGGGATGGTGTATAAGAAAGGTTTATTTATTTGGAGATAAACTCACAGTAAGGGTAGCAATCCACAGTCCTTTGCATGCACAGAGAACTGGAAACAAATCCAGCAAAAAAAAAGGGGTGGGGCTGCTTATTTATGCTTTTTGTCTGCACGTCTAGTACATGGGACCACATCCAAAGTGGGCCGGTATCTTAAAGGCTTTTGGCTGAAGGAGTTCCTGTAACATGAAGGGCTCTATGATAAGCCTCAAGAAATCCTGACTTAAAAACTTTGAGAGAGCCAGACGTGTCAGGAAAAAATGCTCCAGAAATGCAACTTGTGGTTCATCTCCTCTTTTCTAAGGTTTGGCTCTTAGAAAAGTCCTCACCTGTCTGTCTGTCCAGAAGTTCATCTTTTTAAAACTACAGCCAGTGCTCTTAACCACTAAGCCATCACTCCAGCTCCTGGACAGACAGACAGACAAGGACTTTTTTAAGAGCCAAAGCTTAGCTCTCCACTTTATTATCCCTTTTGTTGCTTGTTTGATTCTGTTCTATTTTTGTTCTGTTTCTCTTCCCCAATGTTCCCCTTCTGGCTTTCCCGATGACTTCTCCATCACTTCCCGATGTCTACCTTCTGTATTATTTATTTTTCCCTTACAACTTATATACCTCAGCAAAGTCTCTCAAGCAATAAAGAATTATAATGTGGTTTAAAAGAAAGAGAAATGTAACTTGTGCATTTCTTATTAATTCTAAAATCAAGAACAACAAGTAGCATCTAAGTAGTGCTTTTGAAACTCAGCAACAAGAAAGATAATACCCTGATGCAGAAGATGTAGAAAGCCATTCAAAACATTTTCTTCTGCATTGAGCATAAAAGTATGATCACTACATAATAAACTACCTACCTTCTACCCCTACATCTCATAGCTACTTTCCTCTTCGCCTAACAAATAAAACAGTATGTAAACTCATAGGATTTCTGGAAGTATCACGATCCTAAAGATGCAACAGAGAATAAGCTCTAGAAGACATATTTTCTCACATCTCTGGAATCTTAGTGTGTGTGTGTGTGTGTGTGTGTGTGTGTGTGCGTGTGTGTAAGTGTGTGTGTGTTTGTGTGTGTGTGTGGTATACAAGCAAAAGAGGGTCAATTTGGGCAAAGCAAAAATGTCAAGGAGAGCACCGTGCATGATATTAAGTATATATGATTATTATAGTACTATTTTGCACACTAAAATAATGAAGAATAAAGAAATATACATTAAAAATCTATTTGACTAAAGAATGATAGAAATATACATGTCTCCTAATTCTACTAAGATACACTAAACAATGTTGAAACACAGAAATAAAAGTGATGTAGTAAGTTTTCAGAGACACATTCAGTTATAGATTTTCACTTGAATACATCTGCATACTAGCATTACTCCATCAACAAACAACAACTTGTAATCTGAGAGAAGCATTGTGCTAAGGATAAAGACTATACAATCACGTTACATTTCTAGGCTAGTGGTTGCTTTTGGAAGCTTAAGGCAACAGAAAAGACAAAATCCTATGCCATCACACTCAACTCCAAACATCAGATGTGTTGACTGGAAACTACTTTTAAATTTGATCATCAGACCAATTACTTCATTAAGGGAAACTGGACCTCAGTGGCCTTCTCACCAGCCACTAACTGGACTCAGGACACTGGTCTACTAGGTCTGCAGCTTTCTGAATTCTGTGTTTCCAAGTTTTTGCAGACATGCTACTGATGGCCTTTTCTTAGCATCCTCCTTCTGACTCTTTCCCTCGTGTCTCCGTTGCAGATTTTGTTCATGGGGATGATGACTGAATACTACCACTACTTCTTCACGACCCTGGTGAGTGCTCCCGGTAAGAATGCGGTCTGCAAACGCCCTCCACACACTGTTTCACAAGCAGCCTCTCCAGAGACAAAGGGCTGCTATTGTCCCGGAGAGTCTCTTGACTTTCCTAAGACTCCTCTAAACTTGGTGTTGCTGAGCAACAGGTATCTTTATTTCTTTTAACAAAAAGATCAGCAATGCATGTCCATGAGAAGGGCGATGAAATCCCATTAAACAGGATTTTATTCTTAAAGAAGCACCATCTATAATTTCTACATTCATCAGAAGAGTGTTGAAGTGTGACCTAGGATCCTTGACTGTGACAAAGCAGCATTTCTGCCTGCGTCCAGGAGACGATGGGGTTAAGCCAGTCACCTGGTGGGTATCTGGGAACATTTCCACCAGTGAAGTTTTTGGAGGCTACATCACTAAGAAAAACAATGATCACAGCTTAAGAAGTCCAGAAGAATCTCTGCCAGTTAAAATTTTGTCATATTATCGAGTTAAAAGTGGATTTTCCAAAGTCATTTAATACACCAAAATTATAGCTCTCTCTCAATCAACCTCAGAAATCACTCAACAGTCCCTGCATGTATACCACTCTCCCTAACACCTGCAGGATAAATTCCACTTTCTTCCATGAGAAGAAAATTCATGTAAGTTTTATTTATGATATTTTTCATCTTTATAGTCAGCCATTTTCTTGGTAATCTTTAAGTGTTCATCAAATATAACCTGCCCAGATTCACAGTGGGGCAGTCAGTAAGTTGCTGATTTAGTAAATAAAATTGACAAGCCAAAGAGTGTGGGAATCAAAGGATTTGGAACAAGGAACATAGAGCAAATGTAGTAAATGTCCTTACAGCATCCCTGAGGACATTTGGGGTATAGAACATATCAAGCCATGAGCTTGTGGCCTGAAGGAAGGGGAGCAGCGTGGAAGGCAGGTTCCTACACCCACACTTTGCTGATCTATGCCTCTGTGCTGCTGCTGACCGTATCAGTTCCTCTTTCAGAACAATCGAAGCTGACATCGGTGTCCGCTGAGTGCTTTGTTTTACTCACAAATCTGGCCCTTCCCTATAACCATGAAAGCCACAGTACTGCAAGGCCAAGTGGCCTTGGACTTCAGAACGTTCTTTGGTCTCATTGACGAAGAGGTTTTTGGGAGCCATTTCAGAGACTAAACCCTAGAACCTAGGAAGCCTGGTCCTCAGTAGTAGTTAGTGATGGAGAACACATGGTACAGGCTTCTTTCCAGTCCACTGCTCACTCTCCTGACCTCCTCTTTCGGCACTCACTGGGGAAGGAGCAGTCAGACATGAACTGTCTACATTCTGTATTACAGAGAAATGCCAAGTTGTAGGACAGCTAAGCTCTACATATGTTTAATATTTTCATCATGAGAGATTCAGCACACACGTTGGAACTTTATGAAGCTAAATAGCTTTCCCTCTACTCATTGAAGGTACAAATGATAACTCTTCTGGCTCTTATTCTTTGTATTTGCTTTGTGTTTTCCTACAGTTTGATCTGTATTCGGCCCTATTGCTTTTATATTCTAGCAACTTTACCTGTAAACATTAATGAAAATTTTTTGAACCCTTAATGAAAAGAAAAAAATTACACACACATACACACATATTATATATATATAAAACATATATATATATATAATGTATATATTATAATGTTGAAAAGGCAGTATAGGACTGGAAAGGTGGCTGGCTCAGTAGTTAAGAGCACATACTGTTCTTGCAAAAGACTGGAGTATTGGTTCCCAGCATCCATGTTGAGAGGTGGAAGACTCATAACTAGCTACAACTCCACTGCCAAGTGATCAGATGCCATCTTCTAGACTCTACAGGCACCTTCGCTCAGTTTCACATACCCACACAGACACAGACAACCAATTGAATAAAAAATAATAAAAGAAGGGATCTATACTTTTAAAAGGCAGTATAGCTCTCTTGATCTAGAGCTAGCAGTGCACGGCTGTGACCTGACAACTTTTCTGCCCAGTCCAAAGTTATCATGGGAATGGACAGCAACTAGAAAACATCTTCAGAAGGGTGAGAGTGTTGTATCTTCTGCAAACGCAAATTGTGAAGGAATCTAGTGCCACTGCCTTGAGTAACTGCCATCCTCACCATAGCTGACCCATGGCGGACTCCGTTTCAGAACACCTTTTCATTGCTAACAATGTCTGCATGAACATTTTTCTGTTAAGTGTCATTTGGGGCTGGTTTGACTTCTTCCCAAATGTGGAATATTTTTAGTGCCGTGGTTTTACTCTAAACCTTTTTATATAAAAATAAAAGTGATCATACTGTTTTGAATACCTGTCTGGTGATAAAGTTCTGGTTTCCATGCAGTTTCATCTGTTCTGGAAAACACGGGGGTAGGATAGGAATGCTCTCTGATACACTGTTAGAGAGAAAATTAGTCTCCTGGAAGTTTCCCCAAGTCCATAACCACAGAGTCCAATATAGTCTCTAAAAGACCCTGATTCTGAGCCCTTATCCAGTGACTATTCTTTATACTCTTGTTGAATGGAACAAAAGTTGCCATAAGGGAGTCACAGGATGCTTTTTTTGCCCTCCAGAAGTCTTCTTTCCTTCCATGCAGACTCCGTATTTCACCTAAGCAGCATGACCCAGAATAGGCAGAAGCAGCAGCAGCACTGAGGATGGCTGATACTGCTGCTGCCCGGTGCTTCCGTCGTGGTCTTGTCACCATGAAGGACTTTTTCCTTTAGCTGTAAAATAAAAGCACAAAGGCAAAGAGCCAGAATGGACTCATCTAACTCTTGTATTCTAGAAATAGAATTCTTCCCTTGCAAATATATCCCAGGTCTAAGGCTAGAAAAATTAATGGTAAATTTCTCTTTTTCATTTATCCAGACTTAACATTCCTTCATACACAGGATGCGATAACACTGCCATTTGAGTGTTCATCTTTTTTATTGTTTCTGTAATCATTTATTTTCTTTTTTTTCCTTTTTTTTCATTTATTTTCTTTTAGGTCAAGAACATCAATAATGCTAATGAATTGCTACTTTTGTCTTTATAACGCTACACAGGACTTGTTTGCTTTAGACCTGGAACTTTACAGGTACAGTGGTGTAAATATGACTGGGTTTCGGTTGCTGAATATTGACAACCCTCACGTGTCATCCGTCATTGAGAAGTGGTCCATGGAAAGGTTGCAGGCCCCACCCAGACCCGAGACTGGCCTTCTGGATGGCATGATGACAGTGAGTAGTTTTATTTCACTTTTAAAATATGTTTTATTTATTTATTGTTTGAGATTTTCATGTAAGTGTGGAATCTGTTTCACGAAATTCATCCAGACTCCCTTTGTTCCACCCCAAAGTTTCAGATCATTGTGGAAAAGAGTATAGATGTGGGCAGAAAGATTGTAAAAGACAGCATATAATTTTAATGAAATCTCATGATTACATTTTAACTGTATAGAAGTAAAGTTAAGCATCTACTATGCTTTCAATAGTGTAAGTATATGTTATTATAATACATACCTTGAGAATGTTCAAGAGGGAAGGAAGGATGATCTTTAGACATTTTCAATCTTGTGTCTGGCTATTATCAGAAGCTATAAGCCTTACATTTCCAATTGCACTTGTCAAAAAAAAACCTTAAGTTGCTATCATCATTGTGCAAATTAAGAAAGAGCAGGAACAAAAGAAAGGGTAAGGAAAGAGTGTTCACCCATGGGTCTGTCTCTGCAGGGGAGTGGGAAGGAGTGAGAAACATCCTGTTTATGATCATTATCCAGAACTAATCAGCAGAAGCAGGTATAGACAAACACCAGATCTCCACATGGCCTGTTGGGTCACGTACTGACTATCTCAACTTCACATGGGCACCCTTCTGCAGACTCTGGCCATGCTTAACTCCAGTAATATGTCACTCCTGACACAGAGCAAGAGTCCGAGGTAGTTGCCTGAACAGAAACTTGCAAACTGCCTCATAGAGATCTTGAAGGAAGCATCGTTTATCTCATGCTGTCAAATGTATCTACCCTTGCTCTATATCTCTAATGAGGCTCTCTGGGTGAAGAAAATAGAAGGAAATAATAATAATAAAAAAAACCTTGCTTCCTTTGTAAGAACAGTGCTACTAACGGGAGAGATATTGGGAACGCGAGCAGGGAATAGCATTCTAAATTGGTGTAATATTTCACTCTCCGTTCCCATCATCCAGAGAAGCATTCTTGCTTTTAAGATGCAATTTACTGATAACTGAAAGGTATCATCTCACTGAAAAATGAACTTAGAACTTCCTTTTTCATTTTCCTGTGAGGAACAAATGAAATGGAGGAAATAAATGAATGAATTAAATGGTTCTGGGTGGTTTTGTATTCAGAGACCCTGACTGTTTTGCAAGCCTGAAATAACTCTTGAAAGACACAGCGATCTGGGAGGTAGTGATGGAAAGAGCTTGGGCACAAATGAGTCTTCTGTCATTTGAAACATTGCTTTGGGTGAAAGCAAGTAGCGAATATCCAGAAAAAAAGCTAGACTCCAGAAAAGCAAGGGGACTGTCACCTCCCTGGTTCCAGCAAGATTTCTATCCCAGGGTGATATAGCCCTGCCATAAGTCTTTCCAGCACCCACCGTGCAGCTCTAGACAGTAAGAGTTGGAAGCTATTCTCACACTGATAATGTCATAGCTTCATGCCAAACGTTGAATATCCTTCACAAGAAAGGCTTAATTTACCAAAAACAAAAGTTTCACTCTGTTCAATTATATGGAGCTGACAGAAGGAAGATTTTTATATATTGAGCAAGTTGAAAACCATGGAACAAGGAAGATAGAGCTATAAAGTTTTCACAGATTCAGGCTGCATAAGATAACTCTGATCCTCAGTGTTGTTGCCAGTCACCTGAGCTAACAACAGCCCCCGGGGCAGGAAGAATGTTAAAGCTGGGACCTAATTTAAATAAGATGCCATGATCTGTCCAAAGAACAGATGGACAATAGGTTTGAGAAATGCTTGTATTTCTATTATTGTTTTATTAATAATAATAAAAGAAAAATTATGGTTAGAGAGATAACTCAGCATTTGTTTCCTCTGAACATGCCTGTGAGGAACCAAGTTTGAATCTCCAGAATTCACATAGAGTGGGGACAGTAGCAGGGATCTATAAACTGACTTCTCCTACAAGGAACTGGGAAGGGAAAACTAGAATTCTCAGAGACTCCTGGGCTATGTTAGAGCTCAGTGTTCAGACAACAACAGAAAAAAAGAAAAAAGAAACAGTCTCAAGCAGTGTAGAAGGTAAGAACAAACATTGCAGGTTGTCCTCCTCCTCTACAACTGTACTGTGTGTAGTACACACACACACACACACACACACACACACACACACCTCCTACTCACAAAACGTTTTATGAAAAGCAAAATGAGAATGTATAAAACTAGGAGAGTGTTTCAGTGGAATGCTGTAGAATCAGTTCCAATAACTATGACAGGGCATGCCAATAGGAGTAAACAACAGTGAAATAACACAGCACCTTCCTGTACTGATATTTCATTTGTATTTTAATAAATGAAGCTTGCCTGAAGATCAGAGAGTAAAACAGCCCCACTGATCAGTCTTACAGTGCAGGCAGTGATATCACACACCTTTAATCCCAGTACCCCATTAGTTTGCCATAGAAACTGGGAAGGAGTGGTGCATGCCTTTAATCCCAACTCTAGAAAGAAACATAAAATGGGAGGAGACAGCTCTCAGGCTCATCTCATTTTGAGATTCCTACAGGCAGGATCACCATTTCGGATTGAGGTAGAAGTAGGAGTCAGAGGCTGTCTATTTTGCTTTTCTGACCTTCAGGTTGAACCCCAATTTCTGTCTCTCGGTTTTTATCAATCGTACTACACCTACAGAAGTTGAGTAAAACAACTATGTAGATAGTAGGAGAGTAGAACTCTCCTGGTTTTATAAATTCTCATTTTCTTTTCATAAAATTTGTGAGTAGGAGGTGTGTGTGTGTGTGTGTGTGTGTGTGTGTGTGTGTGTGTGTGTACTACACACAATACAGTTGTAGAGGAGACAGACAACCTCCAATGTTTGTTCTTACCTTATACCCTGCTTGAAACTGTTTCCTTTTTCTTTTTTTTTCTTTTTCTTTCTTGAAGTTATGAGAGGCATACTGCCAACCAACATTTACCCAAACAATGAAAATGGAACCTGAATCTTTCTGTTTTACCTGAATGCAAATGATTTAGAGAGTTAGAGAGCTAAGTCATAGAGAGGAAAAAGGGCATGTCTAAACATGTCCAGTGGATCAATTGGAGTCAGAAGAGCATATTTCGTGACCACAACTTCAGATTCAATGTTAAGTATTCTTTGATTTTTAAGTCGCCTCAATCAAAATGCTTCTTCACTATCCCAAAGGAAAAAACCTTTGGATATATGGATAAACTCCTATATCCTCGCCTATAATTACATGCATTGTTGCCCTGCCTGCCAACATTCACTACTATTCAAGCTACTCAATACCTCTTCACTAGTAAGGCCTCTGTGAAGTGAGATATATTATAATAGATTACTCTGTTATTCTCTTCATCCTTACCCATTTTACTTTTCTATCCAAGCCTTGTAACCGCTCATGTTATAGTTTGTTTTGTTGGATGAGTGTCTTTCTCTATGAGATTATAAACATTTAGATAGCAATACTTTCTATTTCTGTAATATGGTCTACCCCCCAGGATTAGAAAAGACAAGGCACAAAGAAAGCTTTAATAACTATGTATTTGATAAAATAATTTATTCAGAAAATAAATTTAATTAAGATCATACCAAAACAGAAGATGTTTAAATGAGGAATATTCATATAGCCCCAAAACATTTCCCTGGAAAGCCAAAGTTCTTACAAGCAAGAATCATGGCGTATTAATGAAGATGGAGGTTATTCTCAAATAATAAATTATTATAAGCTAATAATTTATAAACTACTAATCGCATTCCTAGTAAGGACACTAGTTAGTTTTAACTCTCAACTTGGTACAACCTAGAGTCACCTGGAAAGAGAAACTTAAAGACCAACTCAAGTTGGTCTATGGCATGTATATAGGGGATATTCTTGACTATTAATTGATGATGGAAAACCCAGCCCATTGTGGACAACACCATTTGCTATGCAAAGGTATTATGCAAAAGAAAACTAAAAAGGTAGCTGAATAAGCAAAAAAGAAGGCATAGATCCATACATTTATTCTTGCTCTGCTCTTGGTTTGTGGAAGTGATCCTCATTGTTGCTGCCTTGACTTCCCCAAGATAATAGGCTGTATCCTGGAATTGTAAATAAATTGCAATTTCAGGATATTTGTCACAACAACAGAAAAGCCACTAGAACAATAAATAATTATAAATAATCCCATTGATAAAGCAAAATTGTGTTTTCTAAACATCATCTGTTTCTTCCTGGCGCTCTCCTGGATGCATTGCCTGTGTCCACTCTAGTCATTTTCTTACAGGTACCACATACATTTATACATTATAGGTGTGAGCATGCAAGAATTAGAATATCACGAGGAAAGTGTGTTTTGAATACCTGTTGACTTATCCATTTTTAAAACAATTTTTTAAAGTTTTTCTAATAATTTTGTTCACAAAAACTGCTTCAAGAAATGTCATCATATATGTCAAAACACATCTATATCTGAAAATAGAAAAGTCAGTCACACCCAAATTCAATTTAGTTGAATTTAGATTTAAACACAGATATAATTAAAGAAAGAAAAGCATGCTTTAAGGATTGAGCTAGGAAAACTGTTGTTTGGCTCAGTTCGAACCAGTGAGGAACACTAGTGGAAAACATCTCAAGATTTTTTTAAAGTATTTTTGTCCCAACTGGAGTGCTAATTAGCATAGCTAAAGTCTAGAATGGTTTTCATAAAGTCTACTTTGCTTATTTTTGCTTTTCTACATTTTTCCCTGAGTACTATGGACTCATTCAAATGATAGTGTTTTGTATTGATGGGGAGATGGAATGGCTCACTTTCAGGATGATTTTTCTCTGATCATAGAGCATGATGATATGTGTTAGTTATCGTTCTGTTGCTGAAATAAATCAAAATAACCAAGGGCAACTTAAAGAAGAAAGAGTCTATTTGTGCTTACCTTTTAAGACAGACAGTCAATAATGGTGGGGGGTTGGCAACTGAGACAGGAAGACAGGGAGAGATCACATCTTCAACTGAAAACCCCAACCAAAGGGAGTGGACAGCACCACCAGCTGTGGACCCAATATTCAAACACCCGAGCATATGGGGAACATTCATCATTCAAATACAAACATGGTATGTGATTCAGTAACATTAAGGAGACAGAAGCCACCGAGTCTTATCCGCCATTTTTCTTCCTGGTTCACAAATGCACTCCTAATGGGAGGCAGAGTGGGGAGCATCACCCTACTCTCTTACATCTAATAATTCTGCAATTGTGGTCCACAAGAAAGATGTCTTTGGATAGCCACTTTGAGTCTTCACAGAGATTCCTGTGATAAAAGGTAAAGCCTACAGGATTAACAGAAAAGGCAACATTTTTCTTAACAAAGGAGACCAGAGTTTAGGTCCTGGCTATATTCCCAAAGAAAGTGGCCTCTCTACGTCAATTTGTTGCTCTGTAACTCTGTATAATACCAACACAGTGTCATTCCACTGAACACTTTAGACAGCACACACACTCCTATGATGTAGGGATGAACTTACTTGATCACACTGCTTTAGTCAGTGAGAGAACAAAGGACATTCTGACAGGCAAAGGTGTAATCAACTTTTATTTTATCCCACTGACAGACAATAAAAATCTCAAGATTATAAAAGGTGGTTTATCAATTGAGGTGTTAATTAATACATCAAAAGTTTGTCTTCTTAAGAAACTAGAGCAGGAGAATTACTGTATTATTTATGTTCTTATTTATTCATGAGAGACACATTCTTTATTATGCCAGTTGCCCAAGGTGAGTCCTTATCTGACACTTTTGTGACATGGGGTGACCAAAGGCATTTTCCAGTGTGTTTGCTTGCTGTTTGTAACCTCTTTCCTCTGTTTCCCCTGGTCTCTATCTAAACCCAGCACTTACTCACTGAGGTTTGAATGATGGCACCCCACTGCCAAACCTTCAGTGGACCTTCTGGAATTTCTCTCCTAACTACTGAATTTTAAGACTGCTTGTGCTTGCCTTTTTGCCCCATCCTCAAACCCATTCCCAAATTCCACTCACCAACGGGACATTCTGCCTGCTATGTACTCTGTGCCAATGCAAGGGAGCAAAGCTTCCTCCAGCACTAGAGTTTCCCAGGTGGTAGCATTGCTTCCACGAGCGTGCACCCTCAGCAGAGCTCCCATCGACCATTTCCCCAATCCCTGCCTTACCTATTACAACTGTTTTCAAATTTAGAGAGCAATGAGAAACCTGTGCTTCTTGGCCATTTGTTCTCCAAAGATCAGTTTTCTTCCCAGCCTCACAACTGGGAATACAGTATGCCAATTGTCCTTGTCTCTGAGGTGATGGGGCATCTTATTTATTTGTCTTGTCAATTACCACCACATCTTAATACTTCACCATTTGCACAAAGAATACAGAACCCAAAGAAGCTGTCACATTTACAGTAACAGCTTATTACAGGAATAAAAAGAATAAAAAGTAAAATCAACAAGGGCAATTTTCACACTGGGTAGAGCCCTGACAAGCCTGGGTTCCTAGGTGTTTTATACTGTTGAAGCTCACTAGAAATTGCTTGACTCACAGCAATGATATGTTACTATACCTGTTAAGTGCTGCCAACCAGGAAACGACCCAAACACACACAGCACCCACATAACTGACCTTACTCTTCAGCCCATCCAGACCTCAACTGATGCAGCATAGCCCAGCACCCCCAAACAAACGGTGACATTTGCTACAATCACATTTTAGCATAAATATTTCATAACCCCAGACTGCAGAAATACAAACATGTTATTTTCAAAAAAATTAATTCAAGATGTTTTCCCCCAAACCAGTCATGGGCCAGTACTTTCTTTTGGAATGTGCAGAACGTATCACCTCAAACTCCCTGAATTAGCCCCTTACAGAAAATTATTCTAATAATCCAAACATTATATATTTGCTAGGGAATCCAGATTTTAGTATGTTTATGTTGGAAAAACATGTTCTTAGGGGAATTGATCAATGTTACTTTACCCAAGCTTTCAAGATATATATAAGAACCAAAGAAAGGAAAGAGAAAGGTGAAAGAGTGTCTTCTGGACATTACTGGGCTATTATGGAGCTCATGATTTCACAGTAATTGTAACTACCCAAACAATACTTGCACAAGATCAAGCCAGTTGGTCTTTCAAAATGAATAGGTTTATGAGGCTCCACCCTTATTTGAGGGGCTGTTGACAGTTTATGGCTACTCGGGGGGAGGGGACATCAGTTTCTTCAGGTGTTTGGGCCATCATAGGTTGCCAGTGGATCAATGTATGACCCTACACCCACGATCATATGAACAGCACTAATTGGACTCAATGAGTTGTAAAAAAGGAACAAAGTTTATGAAATTGGGACAGAGAGGCGAAAGGTCTGGATGAATCTGAAGAGGTTAGTATGGGGTAGGTATGACCAAAATACACTGTATATATGTATGAAATTCTCAAAAAATAGATAAACTAATTTTTAAATGTTTCATAACTGGAAAAATATATCATGCATAAACAAGATACTTATGGTTCTGGCATGTAGTATATGGTCATGGAGTTTAGCTTTATATCAAACTACTATTGTGATCATTAAATAATTGGACAAGGTGCGACCAGATTATGTACCACCAACTTTAAGGATCTGAATGCTGGCTTTCTAGACACCATTTTAGCTCTTAATTTTATTTCCATGAAGAAGTAAAGAGATGATAAAAGTTCATTGTTTCCCAAGGATTCTGAACAAGGCCAGACGTATAATCAGTGCTCAGTAAATGTCCACTGTTACTACCGGTTCCGTGTTACAAAGTAACCTGCCTATACTCGCTTTCTCCCACTTAAACCAAATAAGGATAGCAGAGTGGGGACCAGCATGGTGCTAGCTTGAAGCAAGCAGGGGCCTAACTCTGTCCCTGGAAGTGATTAGCAGAGTAGATGTGTACCAGCTAATTTCCACAAGACTCAGTCCTATCATCAACAAAATGGATTATATAAATCATGAATCAATCAAAAAATTAAGCTTAGCAATTGACAGTGCCACACCATCAACCTCATGTCTCTGTGTCAAGTATATTAGCAAAAGGATTTATGTTAAATCTTAGTATTATATAGTGGTTACAAAAATGTATCATGTTTTAATATATGAATCAATAATAACTTATTCTGTAAATGTTTAGTAAACTGTTTCTATATCATGAATGCTGAAATTGAACAGTTTCGGCTTTTTAAAAAAAATCACATTGTTAGTTAGGCAATGATGGCTCACACCTTTAATCCCTGCACTCAGGGAGGCAGAGACAGGTGGATCTCTGTGAGTTCAAGGCCAGCCTAATATACAAAAACTAACTTAGGGCAGCCTCCAAAGCTACAAAGAGAAACCCTTCCTCGATAAAAACAAAAACAAATTCACATTGTTTTTAATCAAGTGATGAGTATTCGAAACAATTTGACATTTCAATGACAGAGACTGAACAGAATTTTTAAAAAGCATCCATAATAAAGGCATATCTTGCTTCAAAACTGTTGAGATGTAAGGTATGGCGTCCATCACTTATGCTCTCTTTCCACCTGCATTAAAACATAACTAACATCAAATATTGGATGAATCAACTAATTGTAGAAAACCACGTACTAAGATTTTGCTAGAACCTGGATTCTAGGCTTAACTCTGTTAAGTTTCCAGCTATATACATGTGTGCTTCCATAAATCAATATTTTGCCTGAGGTCAGTTTTACATATAATAAGTAGCTTTATCTATATGTTCTGCTTACTTTGGAGGATTACTGAGAATTTCAAATGAGCTAATATATTTGAAGTTGCAAAAAAGCCTTCCAGTAAAATATGAGGGTATTATGAGATTTTTATCCCCAAAACCACAGGGCAGTATATTTGACAAAATGCTATGAGTATTATATAAAATTTAGCAAGTGGGAAGAATTTTATGAGGAAAAAAAGGAAAAGATAACTATTCCAAAAGAGAACTAACTACTTCCAATCTTTTTCATGGTAACTCATGAAGGCAAGTGTAAGTTTGGTTTGATCACAGGCCAGTACCTCACAGGGCCTCCCTGAGCTAGCGATTGAATTTCATACCATGGACTTTAACTTCCTTCCTCAAGTCTGACCAATAAAAGTGACCAACACAAGCAACCTTAATAATAATACAATCACCTATTAACTCTATTCGCTAGCAAGAATTTGTTTTCTCTGGAATACAAAATAAAGAAGAAGAGAGGAAAGAGGGAAGGAAGGAAGGAGGGAGGGAGGGAAAAAGAAAGAGGAAGGGAGGGAAGGAAGGAAGGAAGGAAAGAAAGAGTGAGGGAGGGAAGGAAGGAAGGAAGGTGCTAAAAGACAAGAGCTGATATTGAAATAATGAGACTTTAGTAGATTTGATCTCAAGGTAATTGACTTTAACACTGAGCTTAACATAGAAGACACTGCAAAAATGTTTCTGGAATAAAGTCTTTTATCATTGACCCGAGTTTCTATTTTGTTTTGTTTTTAAGAACTCAAAAACCAAATGTAGGATCTTAATTTATTCTGGAATGTAAGCTTTCCTTTTGTAGAAAAACAGCAATCAGTGTCTGAAAACTGTTTAGCTAAAGAACACAAGGTCTTTAAGAACAGACCGACAGCAAGGAAGGAATGGCAGATGCATGGGTAGCGGGAGGTAATAAAGATGGAACTGATGGCATGTTCCATGTTTTCCTCCACAGACTGAAGCAGCTCTGATGTACGACGCTGTGTACATGGTAGCTATTGCTTCACATCGTGCCTCACAGCTGACTGTCAGCTCCCTACAGTGCCATCGACACAAGCCATGGCGCCTTGGACCCCGATTTATGAACCTGATCAAAGAGGCAAGTGTACCTTCCTTGTAGCTCATTTGCTTAGCGCCTCTTAGCGTGTCCCTTTGATCTGCTTCTGATGGCAGGGTGATGCTACTGGAGAAGCAGTCACTGTCACTGGCCTTCTCAGGTCTCAAGGTCAGAGGTTCTTCTACGGGAACTATTCTGTATTTTCACACATTGTGCTGCAATGTTCAAGCAAGCTACTAGATCCTAATACTATTAACTGTCCGTCCTATCAGCCGTGTTCCAATTACGCCTGGCTCTCCACACATAAGAACTTCGAGGTATTGAATCCATAAGGAATGTTAATTCCCATATTTTGGGTTCTTGGTCTTCCACAGAGGCTAACGAAAGACCTCATTGTGTTAGAGACATTTTTCCCTTTGCTAACAAAAGAGAAAGGTGTGGTTCTATTAAAAACTTCCTTAAAGTTTCTTAAGAGAAGAGGATATTTAGGAAGAGGCAGCTCTCTTTTAATATCCAGGTATTAAAGGCTATACCTACTTTATCTCACTCTCTGGAGCAATTTAAATTCTCTTTCCCAAGACCCTTCCAGGACTCTTAAAATATGTGTGCCTTTGGATTATCTTGGAGACCAGCAGGCACTTTTAGGTATTTATGGACTTAGCAATATAAAATAAGAATCTTGGGAGCAGCAAATCTGCCTGAGTAAGCACACAACCCCGTGACCTGCTCTAGAATTTTCCCTGTGTGACACAGAAATTTTTTCTCTGATGAAGACTATCTTCTTCCCTATCCAGACTGGAGAGAGTCAGAGACTAAACACTAATTGAGAAGCATATGAGGGGATAGGATACAGATGGAGAAGGCTCACCACAGACTAAGGAAGACTAGCAGTTTCAAATGAATCTCTGCTGATTTCCTCAAAACTCACAGATCACCTCTCTGCTGTTCAATCTGCTTCCCCGTGCATACTGAGTTCATAAACATAAGGGTCAGATAAAGAATGTACATAAGAAGTAAGACTCCAAGCGCCAAGAGAAGACAACTTGAAGCGCTGGGTATAGGGTACCCACTTTCTGGTGCAAAGCCTGCACTTTTGAAGACTGATGAAGAGTTCTTCCTTAAATTCTAGCTTTTCATTCCTATCCTGTCCCCACTGACTGCTTAGCTGTAACCCCCAGCTCTGCTAATGCTTATGAGCAATATAACCAAGATGAGATACTTAACCGTTCCGTGTCTGGAATTTTGATCTGAGAAATGATAATGGGCCATCTACCTTCTCAGCATTATTGTACAGAAATTGAGTATTTTACTACTTGTAAAGAATCGTGAAGGGGTCCAGTAAGCATCTGAAATATTGGCTTCCCTTAGCATGAGAATGCACACTTATAATAGCCTCATTCAGTTTACTGAGGATGGTGCCAGGAATTTAAAACTGGCAACGACAACAGAGAAATCACAAATAGCTATGAAATGCAATACCCTCTCTGACAGCTACATAAACCTGACATACTGTGCCTAATAGAAAAATGTCATGTGGCCTTCCCTCCTCCCTGTGCTGATCACAGCCATGTCCTGAATTGCCATCCTGATTGCTTTGATCTTTAACGAGAAAACATCTGGCTCCCCTTTATCTTAAGCCAGTGCAAGGAGAGGCAAACACCGTAAGGAAGCCTGAGATCAAACATTGAGAACACTCCAAGCACCTTTTTACTCCCACTTCAGTTACATAAGAAGGCGAAATTGCCAAGCTGCATTTAGGTCTGTTTAAAAAAATAATGAGTCCAAGAGAAGGGATGACATTGACAACAAGAGCACCTTTTCTATTTTTGTAGTAGAAAGAGCAATTCCCCACTCTTAGGATCCATGGTGGGAGTGAAAGGAAGGCTATCAGGGGAGAATACAAAGTATTTGACAGCGATGTTCCTATCCTCTCGTTGACTCTTGACATATGCTACCTTTGGCAGGGTGCTGATCCCTGCAGGGAGGATGGCATGGTGGTAGGGTGGGGAACCAGGACTCATGCCTCAGGCTATCAGAAGACAGGCAGAGAGGGAATTCTGTGATGAACTGAACATTAAACAGAAACATGCTGGTGTTTCTTTGGTTGAGAACATTGCCAAATTTTGCATGTGTCAGATTTCATTATAAAACATGAAGTAAAGTCCTAGGTCCTGAATCTTCCCCAGGTCAATTCCTGCAGTCGTTTTCCATTGCTAGAGGATTTCCAGCCTGGGAAAACTGACTGGGAAATAACGAGAAGGGTGAGCACTGAACTTATGGAGTGATGCTAGCCTCCTCACCTAGGCAAAGCTGCCAGGGCAGTAATCCGGGACAAGTGCACAGCATTTTGAGTTAGGAAGCCGCTAAGATGAGTACCTTAAACTAATTTACCATTCAGTATGCGGGTCTGACAGTAGAGGGGGTGGGATCGATGACCATTTGGAATGTGAGTCCTGTTCCTGGAGATGTGTTAAACAGATGGATACAGTAGAAGATGATAATGGTCTGCTCAACAAAACTTACAAGAACACTGTCTTGTAGAGCAGTTGGATTGGCTTGCTCTTCTGTTCCTGTAATAAACCACTCAACAGAAGCAACTTAGGGTTGGAAAAGTTTTGCTTCCAGACAACAGTCTCTCGCTGGGTGAAATTGGTGCAGAAACTCAGCAGGAACCTAGAGGCAGGAAATGAGGCAGAAACCACAGAGATTGGCAGTTTACTGCTCACTCTTTCTGGCTCCTACTTTAGAAATCTTATTCTGTAACTCAGAACCACCTGCCATGAGCACCACTGCCCACCTATAGTAGGCTGTATCCTCCTTGTCAATCACCGGTGAAGATAATTCCCCCAGACATGACCACCCACCAGTTTGATATGGACAGTCCTTCAGTTGAGACGCCCTCTGTGATTTTTTGCTGTATCAAACTGGCAAGAAAAACTAACAAGGACAATAATATTTGTGTGGTTCCGGGTATCAAACAGAGGGTCTCACTTATTCTAGACAAGTGTTCTGTCAATGAGCTATATTCCCAGTCCCTGACCCACATAATATTAACTTGACACAAGGGAGAACCCTCTCATCAAAGTAAAAGCTGTGGTTTCTACCATCTACCAATATAAATTCTACCTGGCTGAGAAAATTCAGGCTTCGTCTGAAGCTATCCCATAGCACAATATAAATGCAGGATTGATAGGCTCTTAATGACCTTGTTCTCAAAGCCCCATAGCATCTCCCTTATCCCCTACACTGTCGCTAGCCCTTGTTGAATCTGTGATGTCTTCCTGAACATGTCATATACGTATGCTAAAATCCCTGGCTTCTTGTTGAATTGCCATGTCTGTCAGGATCATGACTTATGTCCACTGCAAGCCATAGCTCCTACCTCCTGATTCTGACTCTTCTCCTCTCTTCCAACTGTCATTCTTCTGTCACATTTGTTTTCTCGTCTTTCCAGTCTCACCTCATTGGCTTTTGCACAAAGTACTCAAGAAGATTAAGTAGTATGTTGAAGATAAAAGGAGAATACGTGCAACCTTCAGGCAAAATCGGGGGATGGTATGCACTCAGTACATGAATGCATCCATAAATATTTCAGCAGAGACAAAGTATAGGCCAGACATGTTCTCTAGCACTGGTGACTCTGATACTCTGTGTAGTGGTGGGTCTTATAAATCTATCAACCTATTTATCTCTGAAATGGTGAACATAAATCTGAAATTAACTATATTTTACTATCTGTGTAAACTTAGTCATTTAACTTAGCATTTCTCACTTTCTTCTATAACATGGGGATAAAAATACTTCATATATTTATGTGAACTCTACACATATTATATAAAAAGCCTACCAAAACGTATGTTATATAGTCACTACCCAATAAAGGGTAACTGTCATCCAAATGGAAGGTTCTGTTGAAAATGTACATCAGTAAAACAGCTGTCATTCATCTAGTACATTGTCCAGCACACTGTAAACTCTGTTTCTGTCATTGGTGCCTCATTATTTTTAGGATCTAGGATGAGAGGGCAGTTGTTTGTTTAAATATGGGTAAGACACTGCGGTGAGGCTTCAAAAGGGCCTAGAAAGCTGCGTATTTGACTTGTTGATGCTCAAATACAAAGAACTAGGGATCTAGAGGACTCCCCGTGGTAGTCACACACATGAGTACTCAGCAAAGTAAAGAGACCCTAAGCAATTATTAATCAACTCAAGAGCCTCAGTGTTTTCAAGTCACTGTAGCAAAGTATCACGAACTAGCTGGTGTGTAAGCTTGCTGCAGAGAGCATCTCAGAGCTGCCATTGTGGGAACGGGTACACCAAGGCTTCCAGGAAGATTTCTCCAGTCACGAGTGCTGGGAAGAGCAGTAGCAAAGTACAGCACAAGACACCAGGGATTTGTGAACTATTTCCAGAGTCCCAGGCTCTGGATGAAAACTGATGTAAGTCATTCATCCACTGTCCCCATAAAATACTTGGAAACTTTGGGCAGTCTCAGTAGTAGTCTGCCCTAGGCATGCTGCACCCCCTTCCCTACTCACTACCCTCACAGTTTCTCTCCCGGAATGTTAAGATAGCCTCTAACCAGGCTCTGTCTTCTGAGTTACAGCCCTTTTGTGGTGATACATATAAAGCAGAAGTACATAATAGGTTTTCTGCCATCTAGAAATACACACCTGCTTGTGGCTTTCTGCGTCTACCATGCTGTTCTTCACCTAGTGGAGACATGGATTTCTCTTGCTGATTTAAAACCTGCCTAATAATGCCCACTTTGTCTGTTCTCTTCAGACTGGAAAGTCTGTCTCTTAGTTGTCCCTTGGGCTAATTCTTACTCTGAACTCATTTTCTCTAGCTAACCTCTTCAACTTGTATTTCTAGATGGTTCCCTCATTAGGTCTTACAGTTCCTTCCGCTCTCACTGTTAGCTTTTAACACATGTCATTCAAGCACTGTACAACCTTTCCCTAGGACAAGGACAAAAGTCACTTTATTTGTGTCCTCAGATCACTGCACCTGGAACATGGCAGTTGGTTAAAAGATGTCTG